ATAAGATTCAAGCGGCCATCCTTGATGACGATCCCGACGAAGAAAAGACACGTCTGCGGCAGGCGGCCCTGGAGTCCGTCCGGGCCGATGCAGGCTTGCACCAGCTTCTCCCGTACTTTGTCAACTTCATCACGAACCAGGTCACCCACCGGCTCGATGATCTCTTCATACTGCGCCAGACGATGGAGCTAGCCGAAGCCATCATCGAAAACCCCAACAACTTCCTCGACCCGTACGCGAGCGCGCTCTCGGCGCCCGTGCTCACATGTCTGATGTCGCGCAAGCTGGGAGGCGTCGACGAAGGGACCGACGCCCTCCAGGACCAATACCGGCTGCGCGAGCTGGCGGCCAGCCTGCTGGGGACCATAGCGCGGAAATACAGTGGCGGAAACACACTCCTGCGGCCCAAGCTGACGCGGACGTGCCTCAAGCACTTCCTCGATCCCACGCGGTCGCCTGCGGTCCTGTACGGCGCCATCAGCGGGTTGTCTGCGGCGGGCGGGCCCGAGGCCGTGCGGGTGCTCGTCCTCCCGTCTATGAGGAGTTTCGACTCGGCCATCCTACAGCCGCTGCGCGAGAAGGGCGAGGCGAGCCGGATTGAGTTCGAGGCCCTAGTCGGCGCCATCACTAAGGCGATCATGACGCTTGGCGGGATAGAGGTTGTCGCCAACGGCGTCAACGGGGTGGACCTGTCGAGGGAGGGCGAGCTGGTGACCGAGTTCCTGGGGCCCATCGTCGGGCAGCGGATCGCGCGGCTGAACAACCACAGCCTAAACAGGGCGATTCTGGAGGTCAGGCACTTGGAATAAGTTTTGGGTGGTCCTCGGTGCGAAAGTTCGACCGTTCTCGGTATTGGGTCAGCGCGGCGTTTCGGCAGGGTTGCATCACAACACCAAAGAGGAACAGTCAGACAGACTGTCCCGTGTAACACAAGCGTCATTATTATTGACTGGCATTTTGGGATTTACGTATTTTTAGGGAGATATTGGTTCTTTGGGGGCCACACAGATTGGGGCCATTGGGAACATTCCCGTATCAATGAATGCTGCTTTCACAATGGGACTAACCGAGTCCCATATGTTGTATTGCCTATGACGAAGAAAACAGTTTCCATCTCGTGGTGTTGCGACAGCTTCTCTACGGTATGTTGCTGTTCCGCGTTGAACACTATCGCCCTGCGAAGAAGTCTATCGTGACAATCTCACCGTTACAATCAATGCCATGCCCCTTCCTCCCATCTTCACCCACTTTCCACCCCATATGCCTCGCCTCAACTCTTCCTCTCTCCCCTTTCTGTCCGAATTTTTAAACAAACATGGCAAGGTACAGCCCGGTAACGATAGACGCGCCCCAGACGTACCATCCCGTCTTGACAATGTCCTTGCGCTTGAAGCCGATACCGATATCGAACGTCAGGTGGCGCACGCCGTTGAGCGCATGAAAGGTGAACGGCCAGGCGAGCAGGAACTTGAGCCCGCCCTTGACGGCGAGTGGCAGGCCGCCAAAGGCCGCAGCCAGAGAAGCGCTCTCCAGGTGCCACCCTATCAAAGGCGCGACGAGGTACGCCGCGCCGAACACGTACAGGCCGCCGCTGAAGGCGGATCCCGTGATGCGCTGCCATATGCTCCCGCCGAAGAAGGTCTGCTGCTTGTCGTAGATTTCCAGGTGGGGAGAGACGGGGCGGTGCAGGCGCTGCGCGGCGAGGATGTCGTGTGCGTCGGTGGGGGTGAGTTTTTGGGTTGCTACCAGTCTTTGGGGAGGGTTTGTTAGCAAAGAGCGGTGGTGGTCGGGAGGACGAGGGAAACGTACCTGGTCTGTGTCGACTGGATGCTCGAAGCGGTCATCCCCAGCTTGGCGAGGTTGGCTGTGAAGAAGACATTGGAAGGGCTGGCCGCGACTTTTTTGGAGGATAGATTGTCAGCCAGCTATTCATATATTGCAGGAACCGCCCCCTTTGATTCCCAAGAACTTCTTTTTCTTCTTTCATCTCCCCGAGGGGATGTTCCAAGTGCGTACCTCGGCGGAGCGCCGTCGTTCCTACGCGCTGGGCAATCATCTTGTCGTCGTCGTCTCAATTGCGTGAGAAGCTATCGCTCGGGGTGGTAACGATGGGTAGACTGCAGTGCGTGGTTTGACACGAGCAAGCAGCGGCACTTCGGCAATAGGTTTGGCGATGATGTCGATTGAAGCAGCGATCGGAAACGTCCCGGCAACTGGCGCAGCACGCACGTACCACAACTTGAACACTTGCTCGTTGTGGCCCGTGCTCGCTGAGCTTCTCGGCACCTCGGCCTAATGCCGACCAATCACAGGGCAGATGATTCGAATGCTTTTCGGGAAGCTTTGGATGCTGCACAACACGTGACTGGCCCCACCTTGCAAAGCTGCATAAAACATTTTCTTGCGTGACCTATTTTCTCTTCTCTCTTTTTTCTTCCTTTTTTTTTTCTTCAATTAGCCTGGGCCTGCCCCAAGTCATGGCATAGCTTCTACCTCCATAGGCAATGCGCTCACATGGCGATTAGGCACTTTGGTGTCTACGGGTGCTCATAGAACAAAATGATCCGTCGTTAATCTCAACCCTCAGTGCATCTCATCTGACGGTTGTTTCAAAAAGAGATCTACATTTCGTCCTCTTTCCAATTGGCATGTTGGGATTGGGGATGCAGTTTATGGCTGCTCTCTGCATATGACCTTGACTTTCTCTGTGTTTTTCCAATGATCAGTCTTCAGTGTTCCGACTTTTTGGGAAGCAGCGAGACGAATATGTTTGGCAGTGGAGTCTCGTCCGTGGAGCACCCGTGGACGTAACGACGTGTCGCGATTTTGCTGGGACTCTTGCATTTGCAGTGTCGACAGTTCCTGTATTGGTGTTCATTGCATCAATGTCTCCGGCGTCTGGTCAAAACATCATCCCATGCCACCGGCCCTCTACTTGAACGTAACCAGCACCGCCTCACTATCCTTCAACGACACAGACTCGTTCGGACCCAGTGTCTCAACTGTGACATCACCAACTGCCTTCCCATCCCGGAACGACTGCCCTGCCCAGGTCACTTTAGCAGAGTCCTTCTCATCAACCGACGGTGCAGTCATTCTCTTCACTGTAGCCCCTGAGTGATCTCCAATGTCAAGCCTCACCGTCGACGCAGTCCCCTGCCCCGCATAAAACGGCTTCATGTTCAGAATAGCCAACTTCATCACTTTGCCCTCCTTTCCAAAGACGGCATACGACGAGAACTCCCTCTCGCTCAGCCTCGATGGCGTTTTCAGCGCTGCAATACGCCCACCGTCACGCAGCGTCTCCACGACCAGCAGCTGCGACACAAACACCGGCAGCACCCTCGCCGCGCCGCGCTTGCTCGAGCTGATAGGATACAACAGTGAATAGCTACTAAACCCCGGGGTGCCGTCGTCGCCGGGCGTGTTAAGCTGCTGGTTACTCTGGAAAAGCAGTGTAGCCCCCTGGTGCAGATGCACGCTAGTCGCATTACGCACCGCGTAGATCAGTTCCACGTCGGCCGTCCAGAGCGCTTGCGCGAACGTGTCACTCACGTTCGGTTTCCCGCTGCAGGCGATGGAGTTGAACTCGCCCACCACCCACGTTGCCCCGGAATCCATGGCCGCTTTCGCGGAGGGATAGATCTCTTCGTCGGCGTACCGGAGCAGGTCGGTATGATTCAGAATGTTGGCGATGGTGGCACGCTTCTCGCGTGCCGGGTCGCATGTTGCAAACGCATACGAGTGGATCGAGTACTGGCCCACCAGGCCCGTCGAGTTCACGCCCGCGGGGATCAGGTCGCTGGGTCTGACCTTCAAGCCGGTCACGTCGGTCGTCGCGCTGGATGCCCACCACTTGCCGCGGCTGCTGCCGTTTACTGCTTTATCGATTTGCCCCGTGAAGCTCTTCCACTGCGCGACGTACGCCTCGGTGCTCTTCTGCCACCGGCTCGTGGGGTAATTCGTCGGCTCGTTACCTAGTTCGTAGTACGCGATCTTGTCCTTTTGCAGTGTGTACGACGCCAGGGCGAGACCGCGGGCGATTTCGACGGAGTTATTCCCAAAGTTGACGGTCGACACAAAGGTAGTGCCCTCCGGGAAATTTTCCCATTGCTTGTAGAAGGACGGGCCGATGGTCGTCCTGTAAATCCCGCCCTTGCCATTTTCTGTCCGCACGGCCGAGAGTTTGACGTCGGGATCGAAGATCATGCTATCCATGGTAATGCCCCCGGCGCGGATGATTGGTCTTGCGCCGCGCTCGTGGAGGTGGTTCAGGAGGGTGAATGTCAGATTCCTGGGCGAGTCGGGCTCGCCGAAGAACTCGGTCCAGAAGGCTGGTTCGAAGGAGTAACTGACGAACTGGGGAACATGGGCCTGCGAGATTGGTGAGGCGAGGGTCTTGCTGAGTGCGTATAATGGTAGTGCATCCATAGCCAGGACCCCAACTGCTCCTGCCAGCATGAAGCCGGCGGCCAAGAGTGTAGCCGTCATTGTGGCGATTTGGATCTTGAGCCTCGAGGGGGTAAAACTCCAGCAGGTGAGAAATCTGATTGTTGAATCGCAAACTAGATTCCGAGTTACCAGCTGTGAACATTATATGGGTTCCGCGGCCCCGCATGCTGTGTGCATTCCATCATCAGAGCGGCTAAGCTCGACGGACGGATCAGCTCAAGTTTTCCCATGTTGAATCCCCCTGCAATGCTGGGCGTGGCGCGTACCCTGCATATATATCCGGTAAGCGACTGTGCAACATCATAGTAACAACTAAACGTTATCAACTGCTTTGACTAAGTACTGAGACTTTGTTGCATGGAAGTTGAAACATCCCAGCTATCTTCAAATAAAACATCGAGACCATAATGATTCAGGTTAGAGTTGACGAAAATAAATAGCGACCTGAAAAGGGAAAATAAAGGAGTTGTAACTTCAAAAACAACAGTTCTATGCAGTCTGACTGGGGGAGGGGAATAAATTCTCTAAAAAAGAAAGCTGAAAAATATTGCCCAATAGCAGGAATGAACTGTTGACCTTCGCATGGACCAAAGATTGCTTGGTGGGACGATATTAGTACGATGCTCTAACCAGCTGAGCTAATCGGGCTTTTTGCTAGATTTTCTTGTTTGATGGAGAGATGGGTGGGTGATGGGGATGATGGCCATTAGTATAGGTAGGTTGGGGATAGTAGATAGAGCGGGTTCTGTCTGTCAGAGTTTTCGTCCCCTTTTGAGGTGGAGTCGGGATTTGAGACTGCAGCTCATGCCAGGCAGGAATGGGTATATATCTTCTTCTCTCTTGTTCAATCTTTGTGAGAAACCTACCTACGTTTCAGTGAGATGCATTGTCCGGTTTATCAACACATACAGCGCGGAAAGTGCATAAACAATTTTGTCCTCATTAGTTGTGTATTGGACAGTTTCGTGGTTACTTTTCGTTATATAAGCAATTCCCCGCTGGTGAGATAGTCACGACAACGCTGGAGAGGTTGTATCACCTTCCGCAGCATCTCCTGCCGCCACCGCTCCGACGGCGTGCTCCTGTTACCTCCTAGACACCACCCCACAGCCTCTGCATAGTCTGGCCCGGCCTCCTCGTTGACTTGGCACTGCCAATCCCGTGCGGCCATGATGTCGAAGACGGCTTTCTCTTTCCCATTCCCCCCTGCTGGCCACCGCTTCCTACATGCCTGGTCCTCAAGGATCCGCCCAAAACAGAGCTCGAGGAGCATAATTCCAAGATGATCCAGAGCATCAGTGAACGGAGCATTGTTGAATACTTGCTCTGATGGACTACCCCCATCCAGTTGGAAGTCACGGTTGATGTGCGGCTGGTCCAGGAGGAAAAGATTGGCGTCTTTTGCGTCGCTCAAAAAGTGAACTTCGGTTTTCTTGAACGATGTGGCCGGCAGCCATGGAGAGTCGAGCAGCTGGACAAAGGAGGAAGCCATGATGAGTGACAAGGCATACCGTTGCGTGCGTGTAGGTGGTGGGTAAACTTCCCCTCGAAGAATTTGGTCGAGGGACACGGATGGGAGTTGATCCGCACTCTGGCGCGAGATGGTGTAGACGTAGTATCTGCAGTCATCTTCTGTGAGGTAACCGCAGCACGAACCTTCTGGCAGCCTGAGAGAGGCGCATAGGTTGGAGATTTGCTGGGATAAACTGATTTGTGCGGTTGTTTGTACGCTGGTAAGTGTCACTGATGGTGGAGCCCTGAGAATAACGGTTAGTTACCTAGGTACCAGTGCGTTCAAATATCGGAAGTTGGCGTACTTTAATAGCTCAACACATGTCGCTGATGCTGTATTATTGCTGTGCTTGTTTCGGAAGGCAGACTTGACGGGACGGTTTTGTCGGTGGCCAGGATGAGAGACCGAGAGGCTGATATTCTCTAGGAGCGTGATGTTCTCATTCATGGTTGCCGCCACCATGTCGTCTCCCTGTGATATCCTGGTCTTGTGAATTTCCCAGCGTGACGATGTGAAAGCCGTGAACATCACTTGAAAGTCAGGCTTTTTGCTAGTCCGATGCTGCAGCAATAATCTCGCGCCATGATGCTGACACCGACAGCTCCAGGCCGCGGCCAGAGCATTGAATAGGTTCCGGGCTTGCACCCAGAAGTTACATATGGCGGCATCAATGGATGCCAGCTGACCCACTGCCGTCCTCTGCTGCACCAGGCGCGTGTCTTTGTCGCTGGAATCGAGCAGCTTCTCCAGCTTGTCGTTATAATCTTGGAGCTCGCCAAAGAGTCGCTTGCGGACTGCATCATTATTGCTGAACTTCAGCCTATAGAGCTGGAATACCAGCTTTTCTTTGCTGGTGATGCTCTTTGGTTTTGCTGTGGAGCTTGATGCCTTCTGTCGGGACTTTTGTAAGCATAGCCCTCGACGGGTTTGGGACTGACATACCGGGGAGTTTAATCTCTGCTGAACCGAGTCCAAATCAACAGCAAGCTCTCGATTGACATCCTTCATGACCCTGTCGATGCCTTTGATGTACTCGAAATACAGCTGGTACGAGTCCCGGAGGCGCTTCTCGAGAAGGCTCGCCATAGAGTCATCCTTCCAGCTCTTGCTTCCGGGCGCGGACAAAAGCTCCTCGATCTTGTCGTTGTCCGCGATAAGGGGAAGAAGAAGCTGCCTTAGGTGCCTGGTCAAGACTAGCTGGTAGAATTCTAGGTCATCGCGCCATTTCTTGTATTCTAAGTGAATTTTGAAGAAGAGGCCCAGTCGGGTAGCGACTTCTCGGTACTTGTCGAGGGCGGTGATGGCGATGGGGAAGGCGCCAAGGACAACCCCGGCAACTTCGAAGCCAGACATTGTTTGCCAGGCTCAAATGGTGCTGTGCTGTTGTCGTCTGATGGGTTTTGACGACAGTGAACGATGAGGATGAAGTGAACTGGGAATTGTGCGCTATGGCTGACCATGAGATTGGAGTCCAGCTTCAGCCCCCAAATCATGCAGGCCAGGCCAATCAGGATCATTGATTCCTTTCGTTGCTTCCCAGTTGCGGCGCTTCGGTGCGGGGTAATATTTCAGGCATCCCAACCTTCTTGTGGAACAGTAATGACGACCCGACTCTGAAGAGAAAACTACCTCGGTACCACCATTTCACTTTCCTTGTAACTATTTCAAACGCATGCCAGACTGCTGCGGTCATGGAGGGCTTAAAGCCAGCCCAAGATGAACACGTATTCATCCCTGGTTATGGGACTGGTAGTGCTTTAAGCAGCTCGGCCAACCTAGGCGAAGACTGGACCAACACGTCAGACCGTGCTGAGCGTCGGAGAATACAAAACCGCATCACTCAGCGCGAGTACCGTATGTGTCGCTTAACTCTCGACGCCAACAACAACGAAGCCCTTGATGTCGACTAACCATCTCCGCAGGAAAGAAGCTCAAAGGTCGCTTGGAAGACTTGGAGAGGCGCGCAGAGGCATCTAATGACGCCTTGATCAGAGACCCCAACCCCCAACCCAATGCCACGAGCATCTCACAAAAGAGTCGTCATGTGCGAGAGCGCTTTTTGGGGTTAATAACCCTCCTTGAAGATAAACAGCAAGATGGCACATCTGTCATGACGGCCAGCCCAGTCGCAGTCACAGATGCCTTGGAGAGATTTACCTTGTGGGCTGGAAATATGGGAGCCATGAAAAACCCTCTGACCAAGCTATCACTGGACTACCGACTGCAATCCACAGATGCGGCTGATGTACGAACCCACATACAACGGCAATTGGATGAGATTTTGGAGGCCATAGACAGCTGTAAGTCTTCTTGCTCACAACATTGGAACAAAATAACTGACCTATCATCAGTGAAAAATATCACGCTTGGGACCAGCCCAAACAGAGATATGTCCTTGGACGCAGATATCAACTCCGGCGAGGAAGAAGACGACGACACAAGCTCTGAGACCAGCGACATGCCCTCCGATGAGGCCAACATGACACTCGAGATTATCTCCGAGTGTATTAAGTCGCTGTTCCGCATAGGCGTCCTGGTCAGAAAGTCCACCCCCCGCGACCGTTTTAAGCGCGCCCTCCAAAACTCGGAACTGGTGTTCCCCCCCAGCTTCGACATCGACTATGTCAGACACAAGCACCCAAAAGCTGGGTCTGATTGGTTATCAGCACGGCTTGGCAGGGCAATTTCTAAAAGACGCCAGTTCATCAAGTACTGCCGGGACCATAAGTCTCGTCTTGGGGCTGATGATCATGGCAGAGAGGGGCCCACGACCAAGAATCTGGAGGGGCTGGAAATACTAGCTGCTGCTACTGAGCGCCTGTCAAGCAAAGCGACGACCTTTGTTCCAGCTAAACAGCTCCAGGAAGGCTTTGAGGAAGACGAGCATGATGACGCCGTTTCCATCATGAGCGCGTCGACAATGACTGAAGCGCTATCCGTGCTGAAGCTGCCGCGCCTGGCCGACCTGTCGCCTGACCAGGAGCCATTCGAGTGCCCCATCTGCTTCACGCTTCAATCTTTCCGTCATGAGAAAGCATGGCGGTCTCATGCCTTCCGCGATCTCAAGCCATATGTCTGCACACTAGGAGACGCAGATTGCGAGTGGGAGTTCTTTGGAGACCGCAGCTCATGGTTCGAACACGAGCTGAAGCACCACAGAGCCCGATATAGTTGTGTTCTATGCAGTCATGGCCCACTCCAGTCTAAGAATCTCCGAGTACACATAGTCGAAGAGCACGGTCCGTTTCCTCCTGACCAGCTGGACATGCTTCAAGATGCAGGACGTGAGACTATCACCAAGTACAGGGCCCAGGAATGCCCATTCTGTGATGACTGGGCGGATTCCATCGGGTCGAAGTTGGGCATCAACATGGAAGAGAAGTCTAGAAAGGAGATTTCTGTCAATGCCAGCCGATTTCAGAGACATGTCGCTGCACACCAAGAGCAACTTGCCATCTTTGCGCTGCCACGCGCTACGGAGGAGCAAGGCACACCGAGGTCTGGATCATTTGCCGGTTCAAACTCGGCGGCAGCATCACTGACAAATGGATACGAAGACCACACTACCCCATGGCTGGAAGAAGTGACAGATGCTCCGGAAATATTCGAGCAAGGAGAAGAATCCCACCAAGAGATGCCTCCAAACACTTCTTCTACTTCCTCTTCGCCACCCCAGAGTCATGTGGAAGAGAACGTGTCACATCTCAGTCCCCCAAGTCTTGATGCAGATGCAAATCCTTCCCCTGGACCGTATAACTGGGAAACGGCACACATATCGATCTCTCCCTCTCCACCTCCACCTCACTCTTCAGACCTGCATGGAAGAGTTCCCTCCCTACCACCTTGGCGACGAGGATATCCTATCGCGGCTCAGTGGACGATGGAAAAGGTACAGATGTGGCTTCAGGCGAACCAGTTCTCCAGGGACTGGCAGGAGACCTTCAAAGAACTCCAACTTCATGGAGCGCAGTTTCTGGAGTTTGGGACCCCCCCGGGCCTCAGCAGCGTGCCTTTTTTAAAATTCGTGTACCTTAATAGGGTGGAGCGGCTCGTCAAAAGGGGTGCCGTAGTAGACCCAGACAAGGAAATGGAGGATTTGAATCGAATGCGTCGCCTGATTTGGGGCATCGTCACG